CCTTGAAACAATAGGTGTAACTCATTGTCTATAATTACTGAGTGCATTTCAACTCAATTTCGATATTAGGTTGAAAGAATAGTGATGATGACCCGACAAATACATAACAATTAATCCATTAACCATCCAACTATTGGACCAAACCATTTAAAAAATTTACATAACTTGAGATCCTGCACAATCTACTACTGGATACATTACAGTATCAAGAAGGTAGCAATATACTTTTGTTATGAAGTGTCATGAATTATGCTGTATTATTCTGTTTTTCCTTGGTCACATTACACGAGAGAATCATATTCATATTCATTCAATGTGCATATATGACTTGGTAAACTTTGATCAAAACGCTATTATTCTGCATGAAGCAACTGTTTATTTGAACTGTCATTAACGAGTGGTTGTTCTTGCTGTCGACTAGAGTTTCGTATCAAGACTTCATAATTTTGAATTTTACGTTTAGTTTTCTGAAAAAAGACATTTATTCGATTTTATGAATTTGTCTTACGAAATATTTATCTGATGTGGAACAAAATACTTCTACCTGGGAAATATGTAAACTGGATACTGAATCAATGTTACTCCAATCCTCAAGGTAATATAACGTAAACAGGAAAAGCCCAGTCCGTTACGCTTTTTGAAATATTAACAATCCAGCACTTGAAATCTGATCTTTGCACACAGAAAGAGAATTTAACTACATCTTCGCTCCTCTGGTGATTTAATGTTGTTTTTAGTTGTCCCATTTCTTTCTTCTTGTTACTTACTGATTGTTAATAAGGGAAAATGTTCTATTGAATTTGACCAGGTACTGTAAGTCTTGCTTTCTTTTCTATATCTAATCACATCTCAGTTTATCACCTAACTGTTCTCTGTGAAAGCTTATGCTCTTACCCCGTTTCCTGTACACCTATGCAGCTGTTAATGGAAATAGTGTTTTACCTTTTAGGTTGTACACAGCTAATAAATGTACTTGATAATGTTAACAGTGTATTCTGTAAGTCTGTTTGGATCTCGTTTTACCTTTGAATATTTGTCCAAACATGTAAGTGATCCAAGATGTATAGAGTAAAAGATGTAACAATTAACGCACCACCTATTAGGCTTTATTCTTTCTCAAGGTTCCTAAAAGGTTTCTGATCTACCGATAACATCCGTCAAAGCTAAAAAACCAAGTGAGGAGAATACTAAAATTATAATCGACTAGTTAGAGTACTAATGCTTTGAATTTTGAAATGCTGGAAAATCTCCTTACCTCTTGACACACTACTGAATCACTTATGGTCAAATATATGTATTAATTCCAGGTTGGCATTTATCATGAAGTGATATCAGTTATAGAAACATCAGAACCGTAATAGCACTGGAAAGCTGTTTCGTCCCAATATGGGACTCCTCAGCAATGCGCACACTTAATCCCTCTAAGGATCAAACCCAGGACTTTCAGGTTCTGTGGCCAACATAATACCATGGAGCCACTTGATAAGGATCCAAAAGTTCATATTTTTTTAGTTCTGTCAGTTCACCTGACTTGATTTTGAAGTTAGTATAGATAAGTTTTTCTAGAAAATCTATGAAAGTTGCCGTAACATAACAGCCAGATGCTTTCAATTCTTGTCATATTGAACTGAACGATAACTGCGATTATTATAAACGTCACTATAAAAGACAGATAGATAGTTTGAAAGATATTTTTCGTTAAAACAGGTAAAGTATTATTCCACAGAGTTCATTCAGAACTTTGTAGTAAAAACACTGACGTGAAGAAATGAAGACTTTGCCTTCAGTTGTAAATGTAAATACAACTGAAATGTTCAAAGCCAGGGTGAAATAACTATTAAAGACGAAAAGTGATAGTTGTTAAGATCATCCATAATCTGAATGATGATCAAATTAGTACATTCACTAAGAACATATTAACGCTAAAATGTCTCTAAAAGTAAAACATTAACAATCTGCTTAGTCACAAATAGTCTCCTAGCCTACTAGTGCTTAGAAATAGAGTAATACAGTCATTGTAGATACAAAATATTTAGTAATGCGAAAATTCCCATTTAGATATTCAGTAAAACAAACAGTGTGAGCAAAGAAATATTTCTTTTCAGTTAGTTCCTTAGACGTATCATCCCTATTCACAAATGTCCCTCTGATGGAAACAGTGGACTTCATATGTAGCGAACTGGAAAAGAGAAACATAGAAATTGGAATTACGGCATCCACCTTGAAAGAGCTTCTCTTACGATGTACAATGAATGTACACTTTCTCTTCAATAAGGAATTCTATAGACAGTCAGACGGTGTCGCTATGGGGTCACCACTAGGCCCAATCTTAGCGGATTTCTTAGCAAAATTAGAAAATGGCCCTCTGGAAAGCATCATAAGCGGGTTAGAATTTTATTGCCGTTATGTAGATGATACATTCTTGATTGTGAATAACGAGGACGATGCAAGGATCATACTGGATGAATTCAATGGCGTCCATCCAACAATAACCTTCACTATTGAAACAGAAAGTGACGACAGCATCACCTTCTTAGATGTCCGATTGACAAGGAAGGTGGATGGAACTATGAAAAGAAGTGTGTATCGGAAACCAACGTCAACAGGTCAATACACCCACTTCTTGAGTTTCGTCCCCTTGCAATATAAACGAAATCTCGTTAAATGTTTGGTCCATCGGGCGAGACTCATCTGTTCAGATGATACTTTTGACGAAGAGCTTCAAATTATCCACGATCTACTCAGTAGTAATGGATATCCAGAAACGTTCCTGGCTAAAAATATGAACACATCCAATATGAAAACCAGAATGCCTACAGTCTCCAAGAAACCATTGTTCCTAAGACTACAATTTCGAGGTGACATCATCAGCGAAATTGTGACACAACGCTTAAGAAATGCCATAAGAAGATCATTTAATGCCTCCAAGTTATGTTGTGTTTTCTACAGCCGGCCGATGATGACCACACGAACTAAAGACAGACTCCCTGACTTCTCCTCTTCTATGTGCATTTACCAGTTCAACTGCTCCTGTGGAGCTAGTTACATTGGACGTACAGTTAGGCAAGTCCATAGTCGAATCGCCGAGCATCATCCTTCATGGCTAAGTAAGGGGGAAACCAGATTGACACGAAGCTCAATACTCTCTCATCTGATTGACACCGGCCACCGAGTTAACATTCATAATGCCTTTAAAGTTATTTATCACATTCCTTCTCACCTCACCCATCCTCTACGAGTTCATCTTTTACATACAGCAGAAGCCATAGGAATCCACCTACACAAGCCAAGTCTGTGTGTTCAGAAGAGACTCGTACAGCCTCTTTCTTTGCCTTGGCCATCTGTATAGCTCATTTATTACAACAAGACTCTTCATTTCATCCACCATACAATTTACTATAACTAATATTTTAATAGCTACTTTATTATTATTACAGACTTAACCATCTTTCTCTCCCCCTACTGTCTCTAATTACCGTCAACAATTTACCATTTTACGTAACAGTTCATTTTTGCTCTTTAGTTATCATTATACAAAATATCAATTATGTAAGAACCTATTCACAAAACCTTTCAACGATAATTAATCTTTGCTTTAGTTAACTGTCTTAATTACCTGATCAATTATCACCCTCTTGATACTTTGAGATTGATAACCTTTCATTGAACAACTCTTACCACTAGATTGGTATGTAATTTTACGTTTGAAAATGCTATATTAGTGTAGAGCTATTCATTGATGAGAAACTAATTGAAAAGAAATATTCCTTCGCTCACATTGTTTGTTTTACAAACTATTTATGCAATTAAATCAGAAAGATATCAGTGATGATGGTGACTAACAAGGAAAATCCAAGACGCTCGCTTCATCCTATCTAGAACTCATCAGCTAGATGTATCTACATCCCAATAGGGAATATTTTCCCCTCTGATACTTGAACGTAAGACCAGTCGCTTCAAACACTAGAGTGTTTTAGCTGTAACATTGAAAGAAGTTTACTTTTACAAATGTTCTAAATCCAGTACTACTTAGTAGGCTGTCAGTATATCTTCACTTACATGTAAAAAAAAAAAGCAAGTTAAATTCATTTAGAATATCAGTTGAAGAGAACTATAATTACACAGACCATTTTTTTAAAAAATAAGCAGATAACGAAGTTTACGCATAAGTGTGTACTTCTTATGTTCAATAGGTTATAAATTGTCATTTCAATCTATATTAATGAGAAAAAAGGTGAATGCTATTGTTATTACCAACAGTACTGATAGCAATAATAGTAATATGCTTGTGATGTGTATATGATTTAAAATTTAGCATCAATATAGCCCTCTTCATTATAATCATCTCAACGGTCACTGATAGATTTATGCTGTTCATCAATGATATCAGTTGCTCAATTGAATTTTGAAGACAACTGTATAATTACAATAGTCATCTGTTATCTAGGTCTTTTGTTTGGATGTCCTCTGTGTGTATGTGTGTGTGTGTGTGTGTGTGTGTGTGTGTGTGTGTGTGTGTGGATAGACAGTCCACGTACGCGTGTGCATACACACATATGCTCAGAAAGATAGAAAGGTGACCTCAAAAACCTAAGAAAGTTGAAGTTCAATCTGATTGGTTAATCAGTGCGTGGAATACTTAAATCGGTATCATTGAGTGCTTCAATTCTTTCTTTTATCATACTTACCTTTTTCAATTAGAATTTATTCACGATGCTTGTATGGATAATACTGGAACGTCTGTGTGTTGATGTATGTGTGTCGGTTCACGTATATGACTGTGTGAGTGTATGTTAATCAAATAGTATTGTACAGTATATTTCATTGTGACTTACATTTTATAGTACACTTTCAGTCTTTATCACTATTATTACCATTAGTACCTGTAGTCATTAAAGTGTATTTTTTTGTAGTGATATATATATATATATATATATAAAACATTTTTTGGTTTTTTCTACGCACGAAAAAAGAGTCAAATATTTCTAAATCGTTAAGAAATGGAACCATTTGTCCAAGTATTCTTCGCTATCGATAAAGATGGAACCGAAGTAATCTCAGTTGATGAACTGAAAGCATATGTTGCCAAGAACAATCTTGATACTCAAATGATTTCGGTAAGCCGTAGTGTGTATTTTTCATATTATTGTGTACACGCAGTATCTACATATAAACGTTTCTAACCTTACTGCCGAACAACGTAACCTTACACTGTCAACGGAACATTAATGTCTTAAAGATCAATGAATTAGTCTTGTTGATAATTTACACCAGGCATAAAATCTCAGTAACAGATATTTATTATTAGGATTCTAAATACAAATTGTAAAATCATACTCCATAAAGCTGGTTACATCTTTCTTTTAGATCTTGTGAAATTTTCTTGAAGTGTTATATGTTCCATAAAGTTAAAATGATATTTCTTTAGGTTAAATAGTAGTTCTTGTTGAGAATTCAGCGTCAGTTGTTCTTCTATGAAGTGTTTCGACCCTGATGGAAAAAAATAGATTGTAAATAAGGGAATTGAGAAATGTAATCTTCTGCCAAACCTGTAAGGAATTCGATAGTAAACACTTACAACGAAATCAGCGTTATAACATGTTCTGATTAAATGCAGCATACAACACTGATGGTCTGAAAGACAGCTGGATGATATCGCTTTTAAAATAAATGGAGCCATAAAGTGACACATTTTTATTTCATCTGATATAAATATAAATCAAGGATATGAAGTTGGTTAGAACACGCTACATTCAGTAGTGATTTGATTTTTTTGCTGAATATAGGGATGCGATTGGAAACCTTAGAAGATATTCATTTTACTATTTATTGACATACTTGTTATTTATTCTCCGTTATTTTATTGGATCGAATTATTTGACGTCTATTTGCATTTTGGCTCCTATGCGGATGCCTCGATATTGCCTGGATGTTAATCATGAAAATTTATTTGGCTGTGGCTAGAAGAAGGATCCAGGACGCGCGTTTCGTCCTATTTGTAACTCATCAGCTGGATGTACCTGTACCCCAGTGATGCTATTCCCACTGAAACTCGAACCTCGTACCCATCGCTTCAAAAGTCGAGGCGTTATTCAGTATGCTACGGAAGAACGATAGCCACTTCTTGTACATGTATCATGATTAACATTCAGGCAATATTGAGGTTTCTGCATAGGAGCACAAATGCCTATAGAGGTCGGACAATTCGATGCAGCAAAACAATGGAGAATACCAAGCATGTCAAGAAATAGTAATAACCACTACCTGTTGTACAAGAAGTGGCTATCGTTCTTCCGTAGCATACTGGATAACGCCTCGACGTTTGAAGCGATGGGTACGAGGTTCGAGTTTCAGTGGGAATAACGTCGCTGGGGTGCATGTACAATCCAGCTGACGAGTCCCAAATAGGACGAAATGCGCGTCCTGGATTCTTCTGCTAGCTACAACCAACCAAATCATCATGATATTCATTTTGTTATTTATAGTTTCTTTTAAAGCGAAATATCTAACATTACACTTAATCTATTTACGTGGTATTGTTCAACTGAATAAACTACTCACTAGCGTTCGCTAGTGCTCACCACAGTGACAACGGGTGAAAAACTAGTTAAAAACCAAGAAAGGGGGTGCTGAATAGCCATTTCGTTCCGGTTCAGAATTCCTCAGTCGTATGCACCCATGAAATAATGAGCGGTTGGTCTAATGAATTCACTTTTTTTTTTAACTAAAACAATACTCATCCCTGTTTTATAGTTTATTACCCTAAATGGAGTAACGCAGACCACTGAAACTGGGTAAATATTCATCGATCATTTAGTTTAAAGCTTACTTTAACGACCAGTTACTAGTAGGTTTTCGTCTTGCCTGTAAGGCTCTTGTTTCACTGAGGAAAAACACAAGATTGTACAGTAGTTAACTCAACTAACATGAGAATCTTAAAGAGCAGAAAAACATAGAAAAAAGTGGGCTGACGTCGGAACAAACGCAAAGAATGTACTTAGGTTTAATGATTAAAGGCACTTAATAAACATTGATATTAAACACCCAATGAAAAGATAAGACAATCTTGAAATCAGAAGTGGAAAGTGAATCAACAAAGCTATAAGATCGATACATTGGTAGTTCACATAATTCATCATAGATTGTGTAGCTGTTAAGGACTTCGTCAAGGATACTAGTAGATGACCCCTATGTCCAAATTAACACTCTGTTTATCAGTTAAAAGATGTTAATGGTCACGAAGATAGATTGTGATATTTCCCATTAATGATGGATAGTAGCGACCGGTAGAATTCAAAACGCCTGTTTCATCCCATTTGAAATTTGTCCGCTTGATATACCTGCCTATCAGTTAGTGGTGCCATTCCAACTAAGATTGGAATCTGAGATCGATTGGTTCAAACATCAGGGCGTTATTCACTAGGCCATTGAGTCAAGGATAGTCTTAATGGGAACAAAATCAATCAATAAGATGCAGTTAGATTCAGGTAAATTCCAGATAGAACGATACGCACATCCTAGATTCTACTGGTAGCCATTATCCATCCATACAACAATATACCTTCATTTTGGAAAAATATGGTTAATTGGATTCTATACTACAAATAACTATAATGTAGACTACCTTATTCTATTTTCTGCAGAGCAAGTACCTTGAATTATTTATTATAATAAAACAACTCGGGTATAGAGTTCCTGCACGATGTGGACATTGGTAAACACCCATCCACCTTCTTCGACTTACTTTAGTTATTTAGTCTAGCAGTCCTTCTTTCTGTTAGACGCATCTCACAAGAGTTTAACAGAAAGGGATCTATTGTTCATTACCTCGTCAACAATGTCATTACGCTGTCCGACATCTTTATTGTGAGACGATGAGGCCGGTGGTTATTTTAGATTCGCGAAAACTGAATGACTGTTGAAGGAATAGCTGAAACTGATAAAAAGATGGTCTAGTCTAACTTTCAATGTATTCTAACTTAAGCTGATATCAGAATCCATAAGATTGACAATTTTATGGTACCATCAAGTTGTTTAGTGAATATCTCAAGGGTTACTGGTCACCGTTAAGCACATATCTTTGAAACTATGACAAGGCTTGGTAGGAAATGGCTACTCAAATTTATTCCAGGCTTAGATATCAAGAAATCGAAACTATCTCTGTTTTCATAACACAGTTCATCGATAAATGAACTATCTCTAATGAATTCAATCTTGGACTCAAGGTCAACGAACTATTACATTCTCTGCATTGATTTTATTTTACATTTTTGTCTTTCATTTATCATTTGTATTTGAACTCAAATTTCTCAGATATGAATACTTATCATGAAAAGGTGTTTGATTAAATTATTAGAGAGGCTTTATGATTGAGATGCATTAAATTTTTCTGCTGTTTCACTGGAATTCATTGATAGGACTAACTGTTTCAAACAACCGATGAAATCTGTTTGAAAATAGATATTGAGTTCTTTTGGTTGTTTGTAGAGACTTATTGGTTTGAAATTAGTTTTGCCCATGAATCGACATTAGTTGAAGAAGCATTAGAAGAGCTGAAGTACCAGACGAATGTTTTATGTGAACTGCTGGATCATAACCTAGAACTGATGGCCCTGACTTCGATTTCTCACGAATTCTTGGGTGCTCACTGCTGATTGATCATATACTAGGAGGAGATAGTTTTTCACTGCTCAGATGTTTTTGTAGTTTTAGATGTAAGCACAACAATCTGTCATAACAACGAACTCCTTCTGTTTTGTTTGTGAGTTGATTTATGGATCAAGGATTTCACCCCGTTTCTTTTCTTATCATCGTGCTCCTTATCCACTTACTTCCTTTTGTACACATGCGTGTAATCAAATACTTCTTGGCGTATAACCCTAATAGTTTATGCGCTAAATACTGACTAGCTCTTACTTCCTACTCTCATGGATCACATTGAACCCTTTGGTGAGATTACCGTTCCTTATATTTACATCTTCAGCTTAAGTTACTTTCCTAGAATAAATATAGAAAAAAGAAAATTAGTTGATCTCTGAGTAGATAACGTTCATTCACTCTTTGTTTAACACTGATACAAAGAGTATCATTGTTTACAATTATGTCATGTGTATGAAATAGTTTTAAATAATATTCTGAAGTACCAATGCATGTTACTTGGTAACAGTTTATAAATTTATTAATGAAATGTACAACTTTGTTTTGAAATGTTGAATTTTCAAATAAACATTTAATTTGACAACACCACTCACTGGGGCACAGCTGACGAGTCCTAAATAGGACGAAACGCACAGGCTTGATCCTACTGCTAGCCATCAAGCAGCCCACAATATATTGAACTTCACCTTTGAAAAACAGTTATGCTTACAAAAATCAGATTTTTGTTTCTATACTTGTTTTATACCTTTTTATCGCTTATCGCATAGTTTCTTTCCAGTTAGTTCATTTTCACTTGTGAGTTATTGAAATAGTCTAATAATGTCTTTGTTATTAAAGTAACGGTTTCTGTGCCAGTTAGTAAACGTTTTATGTTTGAAAAAAAAATTTCAATGAGCTTTCCTTCAATGAGTCGGGCGTTAGGTTTCATGAACTCATTAACAAACTTCAGCGCTATGGTCTGTTCATAACTTCTTTGGATTTGAATGCCTTCGTACTTTCTTTTTGGAGTACACTCAGTCTACCTTCTTCTCATGTATCTTATGCGACGTTCACTTTTCGTATGTGTATATTAGTTTAGACTTCATTTCAGTAACTACTAAGGATATGTAGTGCCTACTACTATTTTTATTCATTCTTCTTTTAGAAATCATATATTATTCTGTTAAAACTGTCTCTAAATATTATTTAATTTTAGAAATGGCAACAGTTATTTGATCCCGATAAAACTGGAAAGATAACGTTTCCTAAATTTTGTGAAGTATTGGGTTTGAGTCCTGCACAAGCGTGAGTTGTCACATGATTTCAGTTATCACTTCGTATTTTGGAATCTATCTATTTGCCTGTATTTTATAAATATATGCCATTGTAAGAACCGATGTGAAGAAAAAATGATATAGCTTCTGAGCTGTCGTACAGCCAGGTTCAAAAGATTGCAGAGAACAGAGAGGAATGGAGATGTGCTACTAAAGCCCTATGTTCCACTAGGAACCCAAGAGTGAAATAATAATAATAATTTGTAAGAAGCGACAATGACTGAGAAGCAGGACAGAATATTCATTATTACATCTTGTACAGTACTGAAGAAATGTTTAACACTCTCCACTAAAGTAGTCATTTACACAGTGAGTTTCATTTCCTCTTCTGCTTTTCTCTTGACTTACTCTTAATACGTCTACATTATCTTTTGCATTTCTATGGTCAGAATATTTACCCATAGCTGGTAATTGCCTACGATTTCTGCCGACCTCTCAACTTATACTACTCATATCCATTCTTATCTGTAGCACCCACTACATCGTAAATTTTATGTGATTATTTAAAAAATGAATTGTGTAACAGTCAACTATGACGGAGTCATCAGAGTAATAGTTGGAGGTTTATGGGGACTGACATCAGTTGAAGATCCACTGAAAACTCTGGAGCACTATACAACTATTCCTTCATAGTATGCGACACCTCAGCAGTTCACATTCATGACCACATCCTGCAAAGGATCGAAATCAAGACCTTCACGTTTCATAGTCACCGGATCATAAGTCTACAGTCAACAGTTTCCTACTTCAATCGATTCGCGATTTGGCCTGATTGTCCACCAAGATTGTCTATCGGTATCCGCTTCGATGTCATATAGTGTTGAGAGAGAAAGCGAGTAGAGGAAGTGATTGTTTACCTTACCACTGAAGGGATCAAGTTCTCTGGAGAACTTTCTACTGAAGAACATCATGCCTTAGACGTCTTTCATACTAATCAGTCGATTTCTTCTACAACAATGGTGATTCACTAGGGTATTTTAGTTGATATGGAGTCATTTCAGCCCTCGAAAACTAATTCATATTTGTAAGTCATTTGAAGTTTTTACTTCCATGAAAGGTAAACAGGATACATAAAAAACATATCAATGTTTCAGTCCTCTTACTAGTTGTTCTATTCCATAAGCTATGCTGGCAATCTTGAACACAAGGTGTTTTAGCTGAAGTTCAACATGTCCCCTAAATTGTCCTTCTCCATGTTCGACCAATACATACGTATTCACATATACATATATGTGTCTGTATACCATAGTATGGCCACAATCTTTTCGTTCATTTCGTGAATTTTGATTTGATCTCATAATTTTTCCATTTTATTTTCATATTTTTTCTTGAAATTTTTTCAGAGTTGCCATGAAAACACAACAACAATCAGCTAGTCTTAAACTTCATCCTGATATCATTGTCATCTATGAACAACTTCCATTACAGAAGCAAGTTGAAATTAGTAATAAGACACTTGAACTACTCCATTCATCACCAAAGAAACTTGATGAAAAAGAACAAGCCATCCAATTGAAGGAATGGTTAGATAAGGTATATGGGAAAGCATGGCATGTAGTCATAGTCAAAGGTTCATTTTGGAGTAGTTATTCGCATAGTGCAAATAAGTGTTTCATGTATCGTACTGGTGAATATTCCTATCTTGTTTGGAGAACACCAGATGAAGAAATTACCGCTGATAAATGAAATATTACTACATACTAACTTAGATACAGTCAATTAACTACTCCACTGACGAGAAAAATACGTATTACTTCGAATAGTAATGATAATAATAATAACAATTACAACACAAATCAATTTCATGACAGATATTTTTTCTATGCATACATCTCAAAAACTTTTACTCACTTCACAGGGAAAACAAATGTTTATATCTCCCTAATTTGTTTGTTTTAATATTATGAGTGAAAATAAAAGCGCGAAACATGATGATTAGTTACTATTTGCCTTAAAGTAAACGAAATATAATCATTAAATAAATTGAATATTTAACAGTTATTACTTTCTTTTATTGTCTTTTCGTGGAAGAATTTACTTCATGAATCACTTATGTAACTGTGAAATCTTAACTGCTCAGAGCTGACTGAAGTTCACAGAACAAGTTCTTGTCATTTCGATGGTGAACTAAGTAAACTGAGACTATATTTTGATGTCAGATGTAAAACGTCATTTCTGTTACATGTGTTGTGTGTTGATTCGAAGAATAAAAATTCAGTAATCAGTCTCTATCTAATTATATTGGACTTAGGTACAGCGGTTTTATTCCACCCACCCAGTGTGCCTGTGTGTTAATGTATACATTGCAATAGCCGAGTAGTTTTCTAGACTATTGATCTTATTTGGGTCTGCCATTTCTATATTTAGCTAAATTCTTATATCCTGCTTATCCAACTGACCTCGACCGACTAGTTTGACCTATGTACTTGACCTGACAGTCATTACATGGAATTTGATAGACTAGATTATTATGCTAAATTGGTTCTGCTGGATTTTAAGGCCAACAAATCTCATCTCTTAGGGAGTTTGTAGCTTTGAATGCTACCCTAATTTCAGATTTGTTGAGGATCCTGAGCTAAGTTTCTGATGATTTTTTCTAATAGGGTAACACAATGGAGTCTGTGAGCTCCTTTCTACTTCTGTTTTCTTTATTATTCATACTCACGTTATTGTTATCTTTTCGTTTCTTAGGTGTTCGTACGAATTTCTAAACAAACTGTCGATGATAAGTATTAACTAATAGTGCTTCTTTTACGTGCCTCGATTCCTTGTTTAGGTCCTTGGATTGACTAGTCAGTTTTCTATCTCTATCATTTAGACATTGGATGAGATGGCTTGAAGTCTAGATACCTGTTCGAACTTGTCGGTTTTCTTTAGACGGTAGTATCCAAACCACCGTGTGTCTTTCATTTCATCCTACAATCCAGTGTAGGTAATTCTGCTTTTTAATTCTCTACCTCGTAAGTGAATTGGATTGCGCCTATTACTGAGTTTATATATGTGAAGAAATTGTCGGTATGTTCCGATTTCAACACAGTAAATGTGTCATCCACATATTGCCACTATATTTTTGGTTCAGAACTGAACGTTTGTAATAACATGTTTTCCCAACTATCCATAAATATATCTGCTGCGATTGGGGATATTGGTGATTCTGTTGCTACCCCCTCTGTTTGCCTGTATATTTTGTCCTGAAACTTGAAGACTGCGGAGGTCAAGCACAACTGTGCGCCTAATCTGATCTCATCAACCGATATCTCGGTTCTCTCAGTAAGTTCCGAGTCAATAGTTAGCTGCCCTCTGACTGCCTCCAGTTCCATATTGATTGGTATTTTTGTAAAAAGACTTGTTACATCGAAACTAACAATTTTTCATCCTCTTTTATATGTAGGTCATTAAGCCTTAGTTTTAACTCGTAAGAGTTTAATAGAATGGAGTTTGGACGGTTTCTAATAGGACATAATGTCTATGCTAAGTACTTTGCTAGTTCATATGTTAAGGTATTTCTGAAGTCAACCATGGGTTTAATGCGGTAACCTGGTTTATGAACCTTAATAGTACCATAAATTTTGCTAGTATTACTAGTTTTAGGCATTAAATTAAACCATTTAGACTCACCTAGAGATGGCTTTAGTCGGCGTATCAGATCAAATGTAGATTTCTTAGTTTTACTCACGACAGTATCTAATGACTTCTTGATTTCTTCATATGGTCCTGTTTGAATATATTTGTCAATTTTATTGAAGTAATCCAATTTGTCCATAACCACTGCTGAATTGCCTTTACCAGACTTAACACTTTCTATATCACTGTTATCCCATAGATTATTCAGAGCTGAATTTTCATGTTTTGTTAATAAAACTTAGGAAATGTAAAACATCAATGACCAGAAAGGTCTAGAAGTAAATCTCAAGCTTGTTTGCATTCATCAACGAGGAATGGTTACAACCTTGAAGTAAAGTATTGTTTCTTTGGTGATTTATACCTAAGTCAGTTCTTGTAAAGACAAGTTTCGAGTTACAGACGGCACCTTAGTCTTCTCAGGATTAAATATACACCTTGCTGTTCATCAGTATAGAGAAGCGTGAAACTTGGAACCCTAAATTCTTGATGGCTGCCTCACAACATCAAGTGTTACAATGTAGCAACTTCATCAATATTGTTATCGATCCTGATAGATCAAGTAGTGTAGAGGCTGATTTGGTTTTTCAAGACGAAACATGCGAAACACGAATTCGAATGCCACTATCCACATTATTTGCATGATTTAACGTTAAGCAATTAATGCAATGATGAGAAGCATTACTTTTCTCTGGTTAGGATATACAGATTGATGTTGCAATGACCAGTAACTGAAACATAAACTGGGATAGGAATCCACTTTAAGCACTATGAATTTATTGTTCTTCGGAATAAAGTGTTGACAAAACTCAGAAAAACATAGACAAATCCTAGTAGTTCCTTGAAAGATGATGCATCAGTTAAAAGCTTTGCACTCAACAAATGATAAAATTACAAGATAAGATCAAGAGGATGTATTGGGGGTTAAAAAGGCGTTCCGAAATCACCTGGGGATGAACATATTAGTACTACTGTTATTGATTTGCAGCCCACAGTGGTTACTTAACCTGACAAGAACCATAGTCAAAGAGTCCGCATATCTGAATTAGACTAGTGAACAACACGCTGATCTGTAGATTTCACTCATCATACTACTTCGCTTGGTGTTCAGTTCATCGGCGATATAACCGGACTAATTCACTTCATAAAACCGAATTTCTCAAACCAATAGAGTTTGGCAATGCAATGATCAGTTTACAAATAATTGTGTTTCAGGCCACAACTTTTGTTTCCTGCGGAAAATTTGTTGACACCATAGTCAGACAGATGAAAAGTGTGAGAAATGTTCACGCTGATAGTGTAGCTTGTAAAACATTAGCAAGTCTATAGTTTTTTTTACACAGTTGACATCAACAGTCAGAAACTTCACAGATTTATGTCAAGTAATGATTTTGTCAACTTTAGTTTTTTTCCAACTTAATTTTAAATGACTCAACCATGAACTTCAGGAAAGACTGTGGATAAATAGGCATACTAGCTGTATCATTCATCTAAGTTAATTTACGCTTATGATCTTATCGACTGACCTCAATTGTTTGCCTAGATTTTATGACCTAACTTCATCATTCCCCACTTGATACTTCTGTCATCTGCCACAAATAAAAATATAATGAATAGACAATTTTGAAGGATTTGTGGAGATTTGAAAATATTTCAAGTTGTTATTCATCGTAGACTGACATCAGTTGGAAGAATAATGGAAACCTGGGAGCACTGGACAGCGGGTTCGATCCCTGGCAGGGTTGCGGGTGCGCACTGCTGAGGAGTCCTATACTAGGACGAAACAGCTGTCCAGTTCTCTCAGGTTTCCTTTGTTCATCCAACTTATGTCAATCTACGATGAATAACAACTTGGAATAGACAATTTATCAGTTCATACAACTTTACTTTTCCATAGTTATTTTTATTGTTTTTTGTAGTTTAAAAATTAAATAATTAAAACATATTTAAAGAATAATTTTGTTAGATAATTGTTCATTGTTCAACTTTTTTGTTACAATGAAATCAAAGTTTGAAATACATTATTAACTGATTGGAAATGGATATACTTTCCAAGGAGATTAGATCATCAAGAGTAAAAAGTTGAACTTCAATCAAATGTCAAAGTGTGAAGTAGTATCAGCAAAGAAAATATTTATACAACTTTTCATGGTTTACTCATTACCTGTGAAGGTCAATAATAAGTAGAATATAAGATTTGGTTTAATTTTCAAAGTAAGCTTTTACTTTCTAAACGATTTGAAACAACTTGACTGAAATTAAATTGGTCTAAGCTCTTAATTTCTAATTGAAGGGACACGGGTTCGAATCCAATCCCACCTAATGGGGTTTAGGCAGTATTTACATTAAGTTTGACACATATCCTGTTGCACAGAAGTGTATAAGGTTATTGAATTCACTTTAACTTTAAATTCAACTGAAAGTGAATATCCAGAACCTAATGAGAAGAAATCTACAATCAGTACTTAGTACTATACATTTCCAACTTTATTTTCAAATATATATTGTGATAAGTACTTATATGAAAGACAGTAAAAAGGTCAGATTAGTAAAACAAATCAGAGAATAGAATACCAATAAAATCAATATAACAAAAATAATAGTACACCAACCTTTATTTCATTGTTGAAATTATCAAAAAATGGTTTGTTATGTTATAAAAGTATAAAAGTTGGCTTCAACTTCCTGAGGCTTTGAGAAATTTGATTAACATAGACTTTGATTAGATCTAGGTCATGCATTTTATGGTCTACATTGAACATTGTGTATATATTCTACTTCAATTCCATAAAATTCATTTATATATTGGTATAAGAATCTAAACTTCTCACTTTCTTAGAGTACATGGCCATACGAATCAATGATGGTACACATGATATTGATGTCTAACGAAAACATACCTATTTCAATAAATACTTTGACTTTAAATCAGTCTATCCATAAAGTAAAATGTTGGAAAACACCTATTGATGAATTCTGTCTCGAATATTAGTCAGAATATGTGCGAATATGTTTGGAGTTAAAGACATCAGGCAATTGTGACCACTACCAATTATGCTAGGTGA